ATTTTTAATTCAATATTTAAATATTCATTTTCTAAAAACTTGAAAATATATCGGCAGCCCACTCTTTTCTATCCGACCAGAACTAGTTCTTTAAGAAATTAACTCTTTCTTATGGAGTGGGCAAAAAATATTTCAGACTGCTAGACAGATAGACGAACTGTCACACATACAGATAGATAGTCAGATAGACTGAATTGTCACATATACTAACAGATGATATAAACAGACGAATTGTCACATAGACAGATATGCTGACAAACAGCCTGGCAGACACATATGTTTATAGATAGATAGAAAAAAAATAAACAGACTGACAGACGGACAGGTAATGAATTAAATCGAACTTCTGAGATTTCTTTGTGAAAAGTAGTACACAGTATTAAAACTGATAGATAATTGTTTTTATACTAGATCATATTTCTATCAACTTTATCAAATAAAGTATATATATAGGCCTTGGTGTATTATAAACTTACAGCCCCCCCCCCCCCCCCTCCTGTTACAGGCTGTGCAAAGTTTTTCTAGTAATTCCTTCCAGAACAATGATAAATCCTCAAAATTATTATTATCAAGCCCCCTACAATACAATTTGCTTTGTTTGACAGAGTACAGTGCTTTAACAAGTGCATTTATAATTTCCCACTGCATATAATTTAGGGGTTAAAATTCCCCCCCCCCCCATCTTAATTTTAAACTAGTCTTTGGTATAAGTTTAACAATAGGTGATTCCAGTGCTTAGGATCCATTTAATTTTGATGCGGATCTGGATCCAGGTCATTTCTAAAAGATTTACTGAATCTTTTTAACAAAAAATAATTTTCAATTTTTTTAAAGATTTTTTTCGAATATTTTTATCCTAAAACTTGATGAACCATCCAGAAATGAGGAAATTTTTATAATCTCTCTTTTTTCAGAAGTTTAGATTTTGATTTTAGGAGTAAAAAAGGTCTTTTTTGCAGTTTTTGGTTGATATTTTACCCCTTGGATCCGAATCCGTGGATCCGCATATTTGTGGATCCGGATCCAGGAAGCCAAAATCTTGCGGATCTGGATCCTAAGCACTGGGTTATTCATATCCATGGAAAAAAGTGCTTTTTTATTTTAAAAAAATCCCTATTACCTTTGTTACACGTATGCAGAACTGGAAGAAAAAAAAAGATTTTGACATTTTTGTGGTTTCAGAAACTTTGTTGATAAATCAAACATTAGTCTGTCTGTCTATTGTCTGGCTTTCTATCTATCTATCTGTCTATCATCTATATATCCAAGGATGTTATGCAAGGAAAGTTAATTGCGGTTGCGTACACTCTGAGTACATATTGAAACCAGTTCTCTCTGGGCGGAATTTGTAAACAATAATAGATGTATCATTTTTCATTTAGTATCCGAGGGGGTTAAAAGCATTAAATTTTGATAATTCACATAATATTTTCCTATAACCAGAATATTTCATTAATTTTTTATGTGAAATATGGATCCCATGTCAGGCTTCAACATCCGTCTTGTGTTTACATTACCGCCCAGAAACAGTACAGTGCAGTACAAAAGATGCGTACACCTCTGAAATAACTTTCCTTGCATTACATCCTTGTATATATCTATCTATCAATCCCCCTATCTGACATTTTTGCAACTCACTGTGCAAAATCAATATCTTGGGACCATGAACAAATTTCTTAGACTTTCATAGATTTGTCTTTCCTCGATGTTCTAGATCTAATAATTTATCTGAATATTATTCAAGTAAATATTAAAATGTTTATGCATCTTTTTTCTTTTTCTCATCATATTTTAAGCTTCCCATTCCTATAAAAGTTTTATGTGATTTTTTTCCATTATCATTTACAATGTTCTGTTAAATTATCATTCAAATCAGTTTTGATATTTTAGACAAGTTTGTAATGATACTTGGTGTCATTTTTTTAAATCATCATTTACGTCCTACATATAACTTGTCCTCCATAGTACGTGTCAGGTGGAGAAAAATCTTTAAATTTTCATATTGAATCCACTTGTTCCATAAACTAGACCCTTTCCTATGAACAATTTGAACTTTTAAGTGTTGCTATGCAACTTTACATTTATGATCGTGGTCTTTTTTCTCAACCTCAATCTAGACCAACTCACATGATGCGAATCCCCCTGTATCTGTTTATCTTTCTATCAACTGTACGTGTGCAGTATTGGATGGGATAAACAGATATATGACCTAGATCAGGATATTACTGAGAATTCTATACTATAGGAGTGTATACCTACTAGATCTATACTACAGGAGTGTATACCTATTAGATATATACTATAGGAAGTGTATACCTACTAGATGTTTACTAGAGGAGTATATACCTACTAGGTGTATACTAGAGGAGTATATACCTACTAGATGTATACTAGAGGAGTATATACCTACTAGATGTATACTAGAGGAGTATATACCTACTAGATGTATATTAGAGAAGTATATACCTACTAGATGTATACTAGAGGAGTATATACCTACTAGATGTATATTAGAGAAGTATATACCTACTAGATGTATACTAGAGGAGTATATACCTACTAGATGTTTACTAGAGGAGTATATACCTACTAGATGTTTACTAGAGGAGTATATGCCTACTAGATGTTTACTAGAGGAGTTATACCCTACTAGATGTATACTAGAGGAGTATATACCTACTAGATGTATACTAGAGGAGTATATACCTACTAGATGTATACTAGAGGAGTGTATACCTACTAGATGTTTACTAGAGGAGTATATACCTGCATAGATATTATAGGAGTATATACCTACTAGATGTATATTAGAGAAGTATATACCTACTAGATATACTAGAGGAGTATATACCTACTAGATGTATACTAGAGGAGTGTATACCTACTAGATGTTTACTAGAGGAGTATATACCTGCATAGATATTATACTAGAGGAGTATATACCTACTAGATGTATACTAGAGGAGTATATTCCTACTAGATGTTTACTAGAGGACTATATATCTACTAGATGCATACTAGAGTAGTAAATATTTACAACTTAAGGTATATCGGTTTAACCCTACGGACATGGAACTACAAATACAAAGTCTTCCATTAGAGTACACTCAATGAATTTCCTCTTTTCTTATCTTTATAGCTTATCATACACCTTTTAACCTCCCCCTCCCCCCGCACACACACACTAATAACATTTCGTGTGTGCACCTTCTCTCCCCTTAGTGTGTTGCCCCCTCGACCCCTCCAAATTTTTGGTCATATTATCTAATATTCTCCTTTATTTTTGTGCATTCCCTGCTACTGCTACTCCGACAAAAGCCTGGATAATTAAATAGTTTTTTTTTGTAGTCAGCTGAAACAAATCATTTTAACACATAGAGCGTTTTAGAAAACTAAGAATTGCAGTATATATTGCATGTCTCTTTTTTTCCCTCTCCACGTTAGTTCAGTGAACGAAAAGTACACCCTTCAGAAACATGGAATGATTAATAATTCCTACTAACGCTGAACTCCCCTCCCCCCTCCCTGGACGATTATTCAACTCATAACCCCCTCCCTCTCTACCCTGCCCCTATCTCTCCCCAAACCCCGACCAGCTTCAGCACACTCTAATTGCCTAGCCAGCCAGGCGCCTCCCAGCTGTTTTACCGCTGCTTGACAGCTGCATTTTGACAGTTCGCTCAGCTGTTTTTTTTTCTTAAAGTTTTAGTGGATTTTTTTTTAGCTAATTTAATCTTTTAAAATGCTGATCTTTACAGACTGATGGTTGTAAGCGAATAAATTTAACATTCAGCGGAACTTCTGAATTGTATAAATTTGACAGCAAGCTGCTGTTGGTGTGAAGCATGAAAAGCGCGTGTTCTTGTCAGCTGTCGTTTCCTAGACAGCTGATCGGTGGCTGGGCGCAGCTGGGAGAGAGAGAGCTATAATCGATTTCTCGCTCTTTCTTTCTTCCACTTTGGGTATATCTTGGGCATTAACTTAAATAAAAAGAGAAGGAGAATTGAAACAATTTTTCCATAGAGAGATTCCTTTTTTCGTTAATTATAAAGATTTACAATTTTTTGAGACAACAAAAATTTTTTTGTTGCCAATTTATCTAATACACATATAAAGACCATAACAGAACTAATATTGGGATCGGCATTAATTGAAGAGTTTCAAGTCGTCTTTACAGTCTTATTCTTTGTTGGTAACCCTGTACAATATGCAGTCAATGAATGTTTCTATTTTCCAGCCAGGGGTGTATGTTTTCTCGAAAAATTGGGAAATTAAATGATTTTTAGGGAAAATTTAAGTAAGTGTGGGGGTTTAAAATTGTTAAAATGTATGGGGAAAAACTTTCGAACATATAGGATGTTGTTTTGAACAATTGGCCGGGATATTTACCCTGCATTGAGCAGCACTCATTATTTACCAATATATTTACCGATTGTCAACAAACATAAGATAGATGAAAGGACATAAAGATAACTGAACATAAATAACATGATTAAATTCAGATCAAGTTTGTATAAACATAAACATGAATATATTCAGAAATTGACCAAAGTATAATGGTTATTCAATGTCAGGGTTGTTAACAGCAATGCGATAAAACTGGTGTTCAGAAAAAGTTCCTCTCTCAAGGGGGTTTATGCCCCTAGCCCTAGACCAATTCCTCTCTCAAGGCGGTTAATGCCCCTAACCCTAGACCAATTCCTCTCTCAAGGGGGTTTAAGCCCCTAACCCTAGACCAATTCCTCTCTCAAGGGGGTTTATGCCCCTAACCTTAGACCAATTCCTCTCTCAAGGGGGTTTAAGCCCCTAACCCTAGACCAATTCCTCTCTCAAGGGGGTTTATGCCCCTAACCCTAGACCAATTCCTCTCTCAAGGGGGTTTATGCTCCTATACCTAGACCAATTCTCGTATCCGCGTTGAATAATCGAAACAAATGTATAACATTAAGTTAATTGTGATAGAGAACTATTATAAAAGAAAATTAAAATAATACTTTAAGGTCGAGCCATAACGAGCTGGAAAAGAATCGGAGAGCTCACCTTCGAAATTGTCTGGAAGGTCTCAAGGTGAAGTTTTGGGAACATTCCCATTTTTTAAATTAAAATATAAATAACATGATCTCGTTTTCTTTTGTACAGTATTCTTACAAAATGAATACTTTTTAGTTTGCAATTTTAAAGTGACCTTCTTTATTTTTATTATAAACTAGCTGAAGGGTCCGGCGTTGCCCGTGAAAAAAATGTGAAAACTTTTGAAAAAAAATATTTTGCAATTTATACAATACTATTTGTTTAAAAACTCGTATAATAACTTTTTTATCAACATGCATTCAATTCAATCTTCTTAATATAAATGAAGCAAAAATTTAAGAAAAACATTCATATTGATATTTTCAAAACGTGGTCTGACAATTTTGTGCTTTGAGAACAACCGGACATAATAATATATTTTTTCAGATTTGATTTTTTTACTAAAAATCTAAAAATACATTAAAATACTAAAAATCTAAAAATATGTTAATACTTACATTAAAGATGGTCATTTCTAAAAAAGCTTTTTATTCGTGCAAGCTTATTTTCAACACTGTCATCGGATATTATCAAATATGGAAGACGATATTTAATGCGGTCTGTCAATCGGCATTTTTATTGTTTATTTGGATAAAGAAAATATATAGTTATTTTAATCAGGATTTGGTTCCCTTGGGCACTGACAGCTCGAGACATACAACACTGGGTCTACTAAACAAAGCCAAACATTTTATACGGGTAAATTCCCCCACCCTTCCACACCGAAAAAGAAACAATCAAAGGGAATGTAAAGGAAAAATGAAAGGGGATATAGGCTGAAACCCAAGCATTTTAGGAGTAGATCGAAACCCATGAGAGTTCTATCTGATGTTCCTGTCTCGTGAAATTGATATAAAACTGTGTCAAATGTATTCGAAAACTTAAATATATAATATTTTGTATTAAAATAGTACGTTTAAGCGGATCATATTCAGCAAATACACAACCAGTATACTGGTCACGTGATACAGACGTAGTCATGTGATAATAATGAAAAATTATTAAATTTAAATAATAATAGGAGCAAACCTACTTCTCTGTCTACTCTGGGATATCGATGTTTTTCAGATTGGTTGTGTATTTGCTGAAAATGATCCGTCAAATCTACTATTTTTAGACAACTTTTATATATATATGTAGATTTTCGTATAAAGTTGACACCGTTTTATATCAATGACAGAAATATCTTATGGGTCTCGATCAACTCATAAAATGCTTAGGTACGCCCTTTAATTTTTCCTTTACAGTCCCTTTAAGCTAATTTATTAGAAGAAAAAATACGCGTGAGAAGAGAGCATAAGAGATAGGAAGAGTTTAAAATTGATTAAAAAGAATATGGAATATAAAGTTTAAAAATTATTAAAAATTACACAAAGTAATTCTGATAATATTCCCAATTTTAAAAATTTTCCATTGATAATTTTCAATTAAAATTTGAATAGAAATAGTTCATCGTAGAAAATGTTAAATATTTCGCATGCCTGGGCATTGGGGAACATGGAATATGGGGAATATGAAACATGTCAATTTTTTCTTAGTTTTAGAGTTTTCTGTTCACAAAATAAACCAAATCTGATGAACTTATTAGTGTTAAAGAATATTTTTTTTAATTGAAAAACTGATTTGTTTTTTGAAAGACCTGAAAGCAAATGGGTTCCAATCCAGCGTATAAATTTTTTGTTAGATTTTTCTTTAACACAAGTGAATTTCCAAAATTTTTCTCACCATTTTAGCCAATTTGCCAAAACATTTCCAAATAGTCTATTGAGCTCAGATAAAAATATAACCAAAATTATAAAAAACATTAAAATATATATAATTTAAAGAGAACTTTCTTTTAGAACCTGGAGGACCGGGACCGGAAAAGTGTAGCACAAAAAGAAAATCTTTTCCGAGAGCAAAGGTATTTTTTTAATGTGAAACAAGAGGTCAGACCTTTTATCTTGTTAAACTCGAGATCAAGCTCAAAAGTTAAGACCTCGGGCATTTATTTGAGGTTCTTCCGAGTCCATGGTATATGAAGTGAGCACACTTTTTCCGAACCTCGAAATTTTATATTCCAAACTTAGAACGCAACTGTCCAAATCCGACATAGTTAATATGCCCCAGATACAGGCATTTCAACCAATACAGGCAACGTTGAAAATGAAAAAAATTGGCTACAGGGATTTCTTATTTAAAAATTATAACTAACTATTATTTACATTGAATCAATAGCCTAAAAATGTTTCAAAAATCTCATATTCAAACCAAGTACTAGAAAGTTTTTTTATTAAATATTATTTGGTAAAATCGGACCTTATTTGAAACTAATTTCCAGGTATTTACGGAGACGCTTAGAGCTGTTGTCCTCCCAGGTCGACGCTATCCATAAACGTCGATCCATATCCGAGTCTTCTACTTCTACAGTGTCATCTATACAGTCATCCACTTCAGAGTCAGGTATGGTCAACCTGACTAATTCATGATCATCCGGACTAATTTTCCATCTATACATGACAATGACATGTCTTATAAAATCTTAATTATTTATTATAAACTTTTATTTTGATAAAGATTATTTCTTATCTTATTTATCTTTGCTTTCGATCTTATTTATTTATAGAGACAATTATTTATTATCTTATTTATTCATATATCCTTTGCTTTTGATCTTATTTATTCATAGTGACAATTATTTATTATCTTATTTATTCATATATCCTTTGCTTTTGATCTTATTTATTTATATTGACAAATATTTATTATCTTATTTATTCATGGTCCTTTGCTTTTTACCTTATTTAATTATAGTAACAATTACTTACTATCTTATTTATCCATTCAGATGTTATATTTATTTATTTCTTCAGACGACCACGAGGTTGATGTGCTGGGCTACGGTGGTGTGAGTGACGACGACATATCCAGTGTGCGTAGCACCGGAAGTGATGGTGGTATGAGCGTTAACACGTGGAATCAGCTGACTATTGTGGATACCAATGTTTAAGGTATTAAAAGAATGTTCTTTCAAATACCCTTATTGAAATATTTAGCTTAATTAAGAACTTTTTCAAGAGCAAAATATTTTTTTTAATGAACGATTTTTTTTCAAAATGGGCCCTTGGTTATTTTTTCAACCTTTGTATATACATAATTCTTATTTAGTTCAATAACAGATTTGTCTTTTTTATTCAAACCAGAGCCGGCGATTTAAAAAATTCAAGAAAATACGACTCAGGTCTAAGCTGTTGTTGAGCCTTATTTACGGCTCGGGCTTTCAGATTTAAGTTGCATCTTATTTTCAATAGTTTAGTTCATAAAACCGGTTTAATGTTGTATTTGGCGGATTTTCATGGTTGGAATTGGCGCATTCCGGGTTTTGATGATAATAAGACCCAACATTGAGCCTTATTCTCCTCTAAAACCAACCAAGGTCGGTTTTATTTTCATTGGGCCTAACTCCTTAAGTCGAGCCTAAGATCTCGCAGCTGTCAATCACGTGACACAAGCTGTCGTCAGAGTTGGGTCTAAGATTGGGTCTTAAAGCTGCGTTTAAGGAATTAAGACTCGAGCCGAAGCTTTTAAATCGCGGGCTCAGAACAAAGAAATTTAAAAATCTGGAAGTTTTTGCATAATTGTTGTGAAAATATCATTTTTATTGCAATCGAGTGGATATGCATTTATTTTAATGGCAAACCTGGTTTGAATTTGTACTTTGATAACCTGTAAGCTAGGCTGTTGAATGCTGTGTATTACATCAATAAAATTCATGGGCATGAATTTACCAGAAATATGTTGTGGCAAAAAAACAGAGAACTGATTTTTTTTTTCTCTAAGAACAACTATTTTTATTCCGACCAATGTAATAAAGAGGCTTTGCTCCTATTTTACTTTCATAACGTAGAAAAATTGAATTTAAACATGCAACATATTTTTCATTTTTTTACAATTTTTATTTTCAGATGACTTGTTAGCTTGTGAAGAGAAAATTACAATGAATTCGGTATAATTGACATGGAAACGAAACGTCCCAGTCCCTTACAACTTAATCCATTGAAACAAGGAAGAAAAAGTTTGCCTGGATTAGCGAGAGAAAAGTGTTAAATGAACTAAACCAATGAATTAAGAGTAACTGATAAATGTGAACTGAGAACAAGTGAAGTATATATGTTAACAAAATTGTCAAAAATACCAAAATGCAATCGGATTTAAATCCAAGAAAAAATCTTCATGAATTCCAACAATTTTTAAATTATGACTTAAGCAGCTAGTATTGTCATTTCCTTTCTACATAGATTTTATTGAACTAGATTAATTCAGTTTTAACCAGTAATAACTAGATATATCCAGAATAGATCTAGATTAAGCAAGATATTTCAGGAACTAACTGTAAAAATCCAGATTCAGTTATACATAACTAGATATATTTAGAAGTTATCTAGAATTCAAGTTACTGGATTTATCTTTTTTTCTAGATTTATCTTTTTTAAACTCTACAGTTCGACCAGATTATAATGCCGCAATTATAAACTCCCACGAGGATGGATTTGATAACTCGTGTCAAATCCCTGAAAATGAAAATCTAGAATGCGTGTAAATGACTGAAAGTGTTGATGAAACTAGTATTTCTCCCACAGATGATCCCGGCGTAGCTTTCACTCAGTTTTTTATTTTAATTTTTAATTCGTACTTATTGTTTCTTTTATGTGTAAAAACCAGTGTTTTAAACTTAGTCATCCTAATTTAAAATTTATTTAGAGCGCAATTGTCAAAAGTAACATTAAAATTGTATAAAAGCCTGAAAATTAATTGTAATTATCTCATAGAGATTGAAAATATTAATATTATTGTCTTTAAACAATTATTACTGATTTTTCACGAGTTTATTTATTAGTTTTTCCACCCCTAGCAACAATCCAAACCAGTCTTATCAACGCATAATAGTAGATTTATATTGACACTTTACGCCCCCCCCCCCTTCAACCCCATTTTAAACTTCACACCACTCATTTTTTTTGAACCCAATTCAACATTCAATAAAGCTCAAACTTTTATTGGAAAATCTTAAATAAGATTGTAAACAATTCAAATATTGATTCTAGCAGAACAACACTGTTTAAATATTACCAAACTAATCTCTTTGGTCTAGTTTTTCGTTCAAAACTTGACAAAGTATTCATTTCCAGGAATACTCTCTCAAGTTTAAATTTCGCGGCTTTTGTTGCAGCAGTGCATGTGTGGCCCAACCGCCATTTTGTTTCACCCAGAAATGTCTTTCAAAACTTCAACCATCCTTTGACTTGTGATTAGGAAAATATGCGAAAATTATTGAACTTTAAAAATTCATTAATTTTTTTTTCTTCGTCGAGGATGGTCCCTAGGACCAAAGAAAGCCTGAAAAAAGCTAAAAAAAATCTGAATTTGTTTGTTATTATTTACTGGCTGTGAATACGAGGACTCCTTCTATTTACCTTATGACTGATATTTCAAAATTGTATTATTTTAAATTGTTTAAAGATTGGTTTTAAGTTTTTCCTTCTGGATGGATGGCCCTTTGGTCCTAGACTGACTGAAACAGGTGAATGGCCCTTCCTTTTCCGGAGCGGCCTTTCACCCAACTGTGATCAACTGTGCAAGTATCAGATTTTTCCATCCCCCCTCCCCAGTTCTAACAAAATGAAAACCAAAAATATCTTCTCATATGAAAAATCTGATCAAAAGCCGCGTAATTATAATTTAGATTATTTGTCTTTCTCGTGTGGATACGAATGGCTAATGGCGTGTAAATGTTTATTTATATATATATATTTATATACACGGACACCTGTATATATATATAAATTTTTATATTTATATATACACACCTGTATATACATACATATATTTTGTTTATGTATATCTATATATATACATATTCTGTATGTAAACTCAAACCTTAAAATCTTAATAAATTATACAAACTAGGAAATTTACGAAATAAGAGAAATAAGGGAATTTTATTTTTGAATACTGTGACTTAAGGTCGAAACTTTTGAATGTGATAGCCATCAAGATTATTTTAAGACCAGGCAATTTTATTGAAGGCTAATTTTTGAAATTTCGATAATTAATGAATCTTCCTGAGGTCAGGTAATCACACAAAATTTTGGCCGAATCGGTTCTGCGGTTGAGACGTTTATTGGATACAAACTAACATAAGTAAATATACAGATGTATTCAACTACAGCTCAGACGCCTGGGACTCACCTCACAAACTGACTATTTTTTAGCACTAAATAGGTTATTTTAGAAAAGCAATGCACTTCTGAGAAGGTATTAATATTTTTTTCGTCAGAACTTGCAACCTCCAAATCACTGAGGATGAGCTACATGCATGTAGTGTAGAGCTAAGGATGTTTTCTTTCAGAATCAAAATTTAGCATGGTGTTAGAAACGTAAATGCATTTAAAATGGTTTATACTTAGTATTTCGTTTTCTTTGATTGTGACAAAGCAATTGTCCCTGGCAGAAGTTAAATGCAAAAAAAATGGTAGAAAAACGATCCAATAAGAGATGTAAAAACGAAGGTTAAAGATATTGCCAAGTTTATTAAGAGTAAACTTAAAAATTCAGTCTTTATATATTTGAAGTTTTGTTAATTTTTTTTTCTTCTAAAAACGATTAACATAGAGCTAGATAGTAGATTTATAAGATAACTGTAGTTAGGAAACATGGTAGAGTGTACACTGTTTAAAAAACTGCAAAAGTATAAAAAAAATTCATGAAGTTATGCTGTTACATATCAATTTCTTCGTTTTCAATCAGATCCGTTGGAATTAAAAAAAAATACCTTACAAATGAATGAGTTAGGCCCTAAAAACTGTCAAATTTGTTCGTTTTTTAGAGAAGTACAGCTTTCAAAGTTTTTTTTTCAAAATTCAATGGATTATTACGAAGAAAATGATAAATTCAATAATGTTTTTTGAGCTATGTTAGTAAAGAACTTAAGCTGGAGCATCGATTATATTTAAGAGTTTTAAAAATCATGACTATTATGAGCTAAAAATTTAGATTACTGCTCACAGTACACATTGCAACGGAAAAGCTATATCGCGCGCATCTATTTTCCAAAATTGGTCATCCGTGGACTCCCTAGACTGTGGATATATTGAAAATATAAAGTAACTGATCAATATATGGCCTAATTATCGGCCGTATTATAGTGACTGGTTAGGTTCATGGAACAGGAGCTGGGATGGAAGATAATTTGTCCGACCCATACTCTTCAATCCACCACAATAGGGGTGTCATATCAATTGGACTAATGATCGGTTGGTCTAACGTGCAAAAAGACTATGTGAAGTAAATGCCCTACTCCATAATAGTCTCTCAGACCCGTATCAATCCACGTACAACTCAATCCCTCTCATTGGTCTACAAGGCAAAAGAGCTTATCAGTTAAACAATGCTTCACTATCAATGTCAACAAGGACACAATCTTATAAACTATCAATGTCAACACGGACATGATCTTGTAAACTATCAGTGTCAACTCTAACACTATCTGATAAACTTTAATGCCAACACAGACACGATTTCATAAACTATCAATGTCAACAAGGACAAAATCTCATAAACTATCAATGTCAACATTGACACTATCTCTTCAACTCGTTCAATTAATGAGGAACAATTACTTCTCTCACTGTAATCAAAAACTGCTACTCCTCTAGATTTATTATTCTCAATAACTGATTGGTTCTCAGGAAGGGGATTAACATCTCCATTGTCTTCGTTGTTTGGCATATTATCTTCCCTGTATGACAATGTTCCAGTCCCTGTGCAAATTACAGCTCTTGCATCACCATTAACAGCTGTTGAATTTGCATTAAATTTGGAACTTCTCTCATCTCATCTGTTTCCTATATTGCAGAGTGTGAGGGATCACTAGGAAACCCATATGCACTATTATCTTCTCTGAATTCTTTTAATACATCTATGCCAACCAGCTAAGGGTTTCCTTTCTTGTACACTTCCATTACCTCTGCTAAGGCCAGCAAGATTTTCCTGATCTTGTAAAGTCTAGCCCAATATGATCTTAACTTGTCACAGCTTCCAGGAATAATCTTTGGATAAAAAAACCAGACCCACTCTCCAATTTCAAACTTTGTCAAGATTGGCTTGTAGTATTGAGCATTTTGGGGTACTGAGCCTGTTGCTTCTATCTCATACCAGCATAAGCCATTTGGAACCTTTCTTGCTTCACTTTTGTCCAGTCTGATAGTCCCATCTCCTTGTCTGCTTTTGGGCTATATCAAATTAACAGGAAGTGTAGCTTCCCATCTGAACATGGCAAAAGTGGGGTCTGGCCTGTGCTAGTGTGCTCGGTTGTGATGTAAGTTATACAGGCAGCTTTTACACCCAGATCACCAATTCAAACTCTTGCCACAGTGCCAGCAACCTTATTGCAAATCAGATATGCACTTGCGAATCCGTCTTGCAGTGTCAACAAATAATGGTAATTCTTTCTCACTGTTTCTGACAAGGAAACCAGGTCAATGAATACTTTCTCCCCTACTTTTCCCACTGTACTTGGCACTTGACGTCCCATCTTGGGTTTGATGCTTCTTTCTTTGGTGATACAGATGTCATAACCTTCTACCACTATCCTTTGATCTTGTCCTGTTGTAATTAAACAAAGAAAGTTCTCTAAAACTTGTCTAATGTATCATTTACTCCTCTGTGGCCGAACATTATTCCCCCATGAGAAATCTGGAACGCTTCTTTCAACCTTGCTTCCAGCTTGCAGATACACAGATCTGTCTCATTGTCATAACTCCTTGTACTTTGCTTCTTAATTCTAATTCTTGCATATGTGGTGCTTTGCCTGCTACAACCCATTGTATAACTTCCTTCAAGACTTCATTAGCTTCCAGTAGTTTTTGAAGCTTCTATAATCTCATGCCTTGTTTCTTGGTCATATTGTGCACTGCAGGTGAAAACGTCTGCCTCTCTTTAGCTATTTCTGCTGGATCTCCATCTAGATCTGTAGGATAAGTTATCTTGAGTTCTCCTACTTCATTGTCTATCTGATATTTATCATTCTTTCATTTGTTGGTTTGTCTTAATGATCTGATCTTGATAATGCATCTGCATTCACCTTACCTGTCCCAATATTGTGAATCACTATGAACTCAAACTGAACCTATAATGCAAACCAGTGATGAAAAATTGCTTTCCTAAGATTTTAAACCGCATGACAATGTACCTCAGGCTAGATGCGTCTAAATAAACTAAAAAGGAGGGCTGGTACTTCAGGATATGCTTCCATCTCTCAACACTCTTCACTAAAGCCAATAGTTCTCCCTTAACAGATGCATAATGTTTCTCGTATTTGTTGCACTTCCTGTCACAGCAACGGATAAATGCTCCACTCCTTCCTGTTTTTGAGACAGAACACCAGCAATATTCAAAGCATACCAATCCGTAGTGAAAATAAAGGGCTACTTGGAGTCAAAGTCTGGATATGCCTGAATCTTTCCTGGCCCGTACTCAGTCTTTAAATCCTTAAAATCTTTCTCCATGTCATCTGACCACTCAAATTTCAAGGCCTTCTTGGCCACTCAAATTTATGCAGTTTGTCAAAACTGAGTACCTGGGATTGAAACTCCGATAATATCCATAAATCCAAAGAATGAGGACATCTCCTAACGATTTGTTGGGCTTGG